ATGGCTGTCAAACTATCGAATTGCCTGCAATAGATGTCAAGCAATAAACGCTGACATATATTGCAGCACATGAGAAATAGGCGGTCTCCATTGGAAATATATTTTGTGACATAGTTTTCACGACATCAGAGTTTTCCTGTGGAGACAGGGCCTTACGTGATCTTGTGTCTTTCGTTCATGAGAAAACAATCGATAGTGACAGAAAGCATCGATGGTGGGGAAAATTACAAACATCGATACTGGCGACATTTTCATCGATTTTTTTCCATTTATAGATTTTCGGGTAACATATTTTTACTAGGTTTCATAAAATCTAGTATTTATTTAATAAGTTCCTTGTTCTGCATCAATGGAACAATCGACACAGCAAGCACAGCAACATCCCTTGGTATACATTAACTTGCTATGCCTATATTCAACTTGATGTACAATTTATTTTGTTTAATCCAAACAGGCAAACTACCAGTTTTCTTCAGAGGAGCTTAAAGTTTTAAGAGAGTGTAATACAGAATCCTTCTTCCAACGTTCTTTGCCATTAAGTACTGCTTTAGGGGTGGGCGCTTACTTGGCAGTAAAAAGTGGGTACTTGCAAGTAAGTATCTAGTTTTAAAGCCAACGGGTGTCTTACACCCCTATGCTGTAATCCGAATGTTCGTAGTTACGAATTCGTTGCTCCGTTCCGAAAATTCGAATGCTGTACAGCGTGGCGTGTATAACTTAACCCAGTTTTGTTTTAGAAATAAAAGGGTGCTTTATAGATTTTACGAAAAAAAGTATTTAATTTTTAATTTTCCGCAGATTTTACTTTGGTAATTCTCTAGGGTAGGGTAACAACCCCTAAAAAAGGTGCGGAAAAGTCGGGAGGGGTACCAAACGACGCGTTTCGGCCCCCCTAATAACAATCCGGAGGAGGGGGGGGGGGTAATATTATTAACCATTTAAAAGTTATGAACAAAAAACTTTTGTTAAATTTCGTTGTTTTCTATGGGCAATTACACCGACAAAGATTCACTAAATCACCTGTTCTCACTTTTTAAACACTATTAAAATATATAATTTTACTTATTTATTAAAGAAACACATAGGCTGCTATCTTTGTTCATTCTGAACGTTTGGAATAAACTTTTTTTAGTTATTCTTTAGAACGTTCCTGATGGTATGTTAACGTATATTTCAAACGCATTCTGTTTATTCCGGCTGTGAAATGGGATTATCCGGAATGTATAAAGAAACGCAGCCATATTTTTATCAACCTAAGATAGATTATTTTGTTATTAAAAAGAAGTTGACAATCTTTGCGAGCTGAAACGCTCGATTCCAAAATAGCTATAGTGCTGCCACTGTATTAGTATTTCGTAATAATTCACTTTTCCTTATGAGATGTGTGCACTGTTCAATGCTTTTCGGTATCTTCTTTCGTTTAATATATATATAAATAATGAAAATTTTTAATAAAAAATGGCGCGAATGGCTAAGTCACCTTTCTTGTGGATTGGGCAGAGCACACTTAACTTCCAGTCGTCGGGCATGCGTTCATCTGACCATATTCTGCACAAGAGTTGAGGCATGCACCTTATCAACTCCTCGCCGCCGTACTTGAATAGCTCAGCTGGCAGGCTGGCAGCTCCAGCGACTTTGTTGTTTTTCAGCCGCGTTATTGCTATATGTACGTCGTCATAGTCAGGCGGCGGAACGTCGACTCCGTCATCATCGACTGCGGGCTCGGGTTCTTCTTCTCCACAACTTTCCGTGCTGCTACCATTTAGTAGGGCGGAAAAGTGTTCCCTCCATAATTTAAGTACGCTCTGGACATCAGTTACTAGGTCACCATTATTGTTCTTACAGGAGTACGCCCCGGTCTTGAAACCTTCCGTAAGTCGCCTAACTCACTGGTAAAATTTTCGGACGTTCTTCCTGTCGGCCAGCATTTCAAGGTCTTCGCACTCACGTATTTCGGCCTCTCTCTTCTTATTGCGGCAAATACGTCTCGCTTCCCTCTTCAGATCCCTATATCGGCCCCACACAGCGCGCGTTGCGCTCGATCGCAGCGTGGCCCTGTAGGCGGCATCGTTTTTCTCTGCAGCTTCCTGACACTCCTCATCGTACCAGTTGTTCTTTCGGGCTCGTAGAAATCCGACTACTTCTTCGGCGGCGGTACTTAATGAGCGGGAAATGTGGTTCCACTTGAGAGCAGGTGTGAGAGTCGAGTAGCGAAAGCGCTGGCTGTCTGTTGTGAATGCAGCTTTTCGATGTTAAGCCCTCCTTGTATATTTGGGCGCACATTTGCTACTGCACAGAATCGGGTGCGTATCTTGGCTGCAACAAGATAGTGGTCCGTCAGCTTTTGATGTCAGCTTTTGTCCTCACGAGGACATCAACCAGCCGGGCAAAGGCACCTTCCCCATTAAGCGTCCGGATATTCCAGGTGCATACCCTCAAATCGTAGTCTTTTAAACGTTTGCCGTGGTCGTCATCATACGGGGGGGGGGACTCATCCGAGGCTTTGCCTTGCTTCTTCACCGGAAGTGGTTTTTACGTGGCGGGTCCCAAACCCAGCGCACAACCCATTGCTGGGACGGAGGTGGTTTCGCAACCAAATACACGTTTATATAGCGAGCCGCTTGCTCCAAGCAGACACCCGCTTGCTCCAAACGGACACCCGCTTGCAGCCGCACCTACTAGTGAACAGACGCTGCAGACTTCAGTGAGCCCTTAAACCGAATAAGTCGGAGTGGCCCCACCGAAGCTCCCTCTCTTTCTGTCGTGAACCAAGGCTCCACTCGGATTGGTTACTTGTTTTCACCAGCTGTGAAGTGAAGGGGCCATCGGGAAGGCGAAAGCCTCCAAAGCCATTGGACCCGACGGAATCTGCATGCTGATGCTAAAACATTTAGGGTCTAAGGGAGTAGCTTACCTTACGGAGGTCCTCAACCTGTCCACGGCCACTCTCATCATTCCTGATGTGTGAAAATCAGGGAGAGTGGTCCCACTGCTGAAGCCGGGGAAGCCCGCCAACAAAGGAGACTCTTATCGCCCGATAACGCTCCTTTCCCCGGTCGCGAAGACGCTTGAGGTCCTACTACTCCCATACTTCACGTGCCACCTGACCCCAGCTAAGCACCAGCACGGATTCCGTAAAGTGCACAGCACAACAACAGCACTTAACGCCATAAACACACAAATAATTCGTGGCCCAAATCGAAACCGCCCCTGTGAGAGAACGGTCCTAGTAGCGCTGGACTTGTCAAAGGCGTTTGACACCGTCTGTCATTCCACGCTACTAGAAGACATCGAGGCCTCCTCACTCCCACAGGGACTGAAGCGATGGTCGGCGAATTATATGAGTGGTCGAAAGTCGTCAGTAATCTTCCGAGATCAAACCTCGAAACCAAAAAGGATTAAACAAGGGTTCCACAAGGTGGTGTTCTCTCCCCCTTACTATTTAACTTCTACATCTCGAAACTTCCTCAACCACCTGAGGGAGTTTCCCTGATCTCATACGCTGACGATTGCTCGATTTTGGCGTCCGGGAATGGAATTGATGACCTCTGCTCAAAAGTGAACGACTATCTCTCCAGCCTTTCTCGCTTCTTCACTGCAAGGAGCCTAACACTCTCCCCAACGAAATCAACGGCGACGCTCTTCACCACCTGGACGAAGGAGGTCAGGCTAGAGTTGGGTATACACGTCGACGGCACACCAATACCGACTGTAAACAACCCAAAAATCTTAGGAGTCACC